CCCCCAACACACACACACATTCCCTCCCGTTGCCTGAAAATGGCCAACTACAAAGCTAAAATCAAACCCCCAATACTTTATTTGCACTATTAGCAACCAAATCAAAAGACCCTGATCATTTTCTTCGCGGATATCAACTTCAAAATTTCTGAACCCAAGCCCTAGCAAATCGGATTCAATCGCCCCCATAATTTCGGATTCAGTTTTGTATTACTGTTTTCAACAAGAGTCTATGTTACCCAGTTGGTTTCTCACAAAAATTTCAGATCTTGGACGAAATTCAGTTTCATCGAAGTGCAATAATGATGCTTTAAATGATGGACCTTGATGTTTCTTCACTCCAAATCCTTTAGTTTCAATTATATCAAAATTTTCAGTTCAAACAAATACGAATAAGTGTAAATGAGTCGATTTGGACTTCATTCTCTACTTTTGATTCAAATTTGGTACATCTACAGCAACATACAAATTTGACATAAAATTCGCACTATGATACAAATTTGATACATCTACAACAATATATAAATTAAATAAAATTTTTATAGAACTAATAATACAATATACAATGTATTTACAACTTTCATACAAATGTCTGTGCAAGTTTAATACAACTACAATAACATACAATGTAAATATAATTTTCATACAACTTGTATACAATTATGTTAGTTATACATATATTTTATATATCGTTTGTACACCCGACATACAAAAAGTATATATAACTTATTTTATGTCTTATTCTTTGAGGTTTAATCTGAAATTTCAACCAAAACCACTCGAATCTTCACCAATTTTCTCAAAATTGAGATATAAATTCCAAAGGACATTCCCAATCATTTACAATAATATCTAATTGAAAAACTTAACGATATGTGTGTGCGCGCGCGCGCGCTCCATCCCCACAAAAAACTAGTCAAAACTATCTATTATAAGCTACTTAGAAGCACAACTAACTTGAGTCGAAAAGAATAAAGTTTTCTACATGGAGGACAAAAATGATGACTAACCTGTAATTTGAACTTTGAACTTGCTGCTATGAAGGGGAATGAAGTTCTCATTGTATTTGTAAAAAATAAATTGAATATTCGTTGTTTTGGGGAGATATTAGCAGACTAGCGGTCACGATAAAGAATTGGGAAAGACCATGAAATCAATAAAAAAGATCTTGACTTTTAAATTTAATACATTTCAGTTCCTTTTTAAAACTTTTGAGTAATTACCAAGCTGACTTTTGAGAATTTGGGTATTATATGAAAAACTTATTCAACAAATTTTATTTTAATTTGAAAAAGTCTCTAGGGCTTACGCATCACTAAAACAAATGCTCCTCAAACACCCGGACATACACCGGGGCGTACGCCTCTTGAGACTTTCGCTTCACACTATCGCCTCAGGACATTTTTGGTGCGCTTCGCCCCAAGCTCGCCTCGAAAACGCCTTTTAAAACATTAATCTAAATATATCCGTTAATCAGACCAACTTTTTCAGGACAAAAGATAATAATGACTTCCAGGACCGATAAGTAAACTAAGGTCAAACATAAGATAATAATAGCAAACGCTAGGGGGCAAAAAAATCTTCCCTTTGAGCTGTGGACCCAATACCCACATTGGTTTAGACCAAACCTTCCCCCCGCATTTTTCAGTCAAATAGACCAATCCACGACCCACTGCCCAATTTGGACGCTACTTATTCCGCCTCCGTTAGCCAGAGGCGAACAACAAGAAACTTGAAAAGCAAACAAAGAAGAAACTTTAAAAACAGGCTGCCAAACATTCATCAACTACCCTCAACTTCCTTAGTACTAACATAAATGATACTCTCAAAAGTCAAAACATTTATTAAAAGAAAAAAGGGGAAACTTTACTTTTTGCACCCCCTTTTCTTTAATTTTAGCTCTTGAACTAGTCTTTTTTTCTCTCTCAGTTAGAAAACCACCAGCTAAGCAGAACACATGATGTGGGTCCCCTTCTTTTCTTGTTGTTGAAAGTCTGATCAGGGTAATTGGTATTGAAATTGTTGATTTGAGGAGTTTTCAAAGTAGCAACTTTAGACATTTCAAGATTCAAGAATGTGGAGGAATCTTGGAGCTTCTGCTGATTCATTCTATCAAGTTCGTCCTGAGTGTACTGATGATGTTCCAGAAACCAAGTTTAGAATCAAGGTAATTGGCATTTTCTGCACACATATTATCATAATTATACCACACATTTTGTCTGTTGAGGTAAAGGCTTGAATTGTTGATGATTTTGAGATAATGAGAGCATTTCAAATATTTGGAAAAAAGGTTGACTTGTAGTCATGTTGTTTTGAAACAGAAAGAGATTTGGATGAATGATTTTGCTTTTCTGGGATAAATCCCTCTTAGTTAGATCCACATCTTTGGATTGTACATAGGGACCATTAATGCAATAAACATACTAATTTGGAAATGTAAAAGCTTAAAAGAAATACATAAGTTTTTTCCTTAGAGTAAAAGCTCAATCCCAAGCTAATTGTGGTCTGACATATGAATCCTTACTATCCATTTTGCTTCATTTGGAGCTGTTTCATTCCAATATTTTGTTTAAGTCCTCTATCACTTTGAAGTTTCTATATTCTCGACTAACATATATGATACAAATCTCTAACAAGAGTAAAAAGACTGTATTGGACTTAAAATAAACTTTCTAACACGTCTAAACCTTAATTCCAACTTAGCAAAAAAAAAAATTATATGGATCTTTTTCTTCCATTGTGTTATACTTTTCGCTAATTCTGCATAAATTCTATGCCATTTTATGTCTTTCAAAATAACTTACTTCGTTGTGATTTTAGGCTTGCCCTTGTTCCCTTTTAATACCTTGAATTATCATGGTCTTCCAATTTTGTTATTTAGTAGTGTCCATATGTGATCCTTGCATCAGTGAGATTTTGTGGCTTAATGTCCAAAGCATGCTTCTTTTTATGTTTTATGAAAAAGAAATTATTGTATGTTTACCACCGCAATAAGCTTGTTTAATTCGTAATATGAGGGTCTGATACATATTCAATTTTATAAGATTGGTTAAAAACTCTATTGATATTTCTATTACTATAATCTGATGGATTCATACAAGACTGGATACGAGAAGAAATCACCATAGATAGAGTTGCAAGTAGCACAGATAGAGGACAAAATTTTAGAAGGTCTCCTGAGATGGTTGGATTATGTCTCACATAGACCTCAAACCGTATCGATGTAGAGGTGAGGTATGCTTGAAGGTACTAGAAGGGGATGGACTAGATCTAGAATCATATGGAGGAATGTTATCTTAAAAAACTGCCGATCTTTCGGAATCAATGCAGACTTAACGAAGAATAAAATATAATGAACATAATGATCTATCTAAATGATACCAACTAGTTGTGATTCTTTGATAAGTCAGATTCATTTATATGCACCAAGTTGGTGAGAGTATTTACCGAGTTTGTGGCATATATATTGAGCTCCTAAAAAGTAACAACTATCTTTCTCCAATTCAACCAGCACTTGTTAGCTATAAACTTCCAACTACATGTACGTAAAGGCTCCGAAAAATCTAACCAAATATCGTAGTTGTTTTTACACTTAAGTTAGATCCGATATTTGCAAGGAATCTTTTTATCTTGTTAAAAACTTGTATGTCAATGTAATGAGAATTGTGAGATTTAGTGAACCTCTAGCTTTAGAGAACTCCTGAAAACTCTGGACTTAATGAGTCCGTATAGAGTGTAACAAATACAAAAGATTCATATGATGACCTCAGCTTGGTTTGGTATTGAGGCGTGATTGATTGATTGATTGAATGAATTGAATGCCTTACTGCATATCCTTGTCACCCTGCTTTTGTATATTTGGCCTCATATTTATTATCTAATGATCTACTTATTCAGGTCGGGAAAACCCTTAGTGCAAGAAGATGGCATGCTGCATTTACCCCAGAAGGTTATCTTGACGTAGGCAATGTACTTAGTCGAATTTGTCATGGGGTAAGGTCGACTTCATGATTTTAAAGTCGCTGTAGTTTTATGTGCCATATGATTCATGAATATTGCTATCCTGCATTTTTACCATCTTGACTATTTGATGCTTGTTCTTTGTTGGACTGATTAAAATAACTTGTCTGACATAATCCTAGTCTGTCTTAAACCATTTTTGGCAAGTTAATAAGTGCACCAGAATGTTAAGCATCAAGTATCTGTGGCTTTTAGGGAATTCATCCATCAATTAGAGGTGAAGTTTGGGAGTTTTTACTGGGTTGTTATGATCCAAGGAGCACATTTGAAGAACGAGAGCAGTTACGACAACATCGGAGGTATTTTACTCTCTTTTTTAAGCAAGTATAAATAAATTCAGACAACAGTTAAATGTTAGCAAACTATATCTTTCATCATCCTAAGCTAGTTACTTGACATGAGAAGAATTACAATAAAAGTTATTGTTCTAGGTGACTTGAGAAATTTTGTTTTCAGCTGCTCTCGAGATCTAGGCTTTGGAAGCCGCTCCAAATGGAATAGTGTCATCATCAACTAACCCATCTTATACAGATGAGGAAACCTGTAAATAGATGCTAATTTACAGTTAGATGTTGAGACTTAATTCATATTTGTATCCCTAAATTAGTGAGCATGTTCTTTTCGTTGTAAAATATGCACTCGTCTTTACTGCTTCAAATGTTGCATACTGGAATACTTTTTACTCCTTGTGTGGATTCTTAAGCTCTGTGGTTCCCAAAGACTCATATCCGAAGATTTACGTTTTGCAAATTTTGTATCTATGATTCAGCTTCTGGCAAATTATCTTCACATGTGAATTTGATAATACTTTGCCATTCGACAGTATATATCAATACTGACCCATGTCTTCTGGACACACATTTCTTGTACATATTCAGGGTACAGTATGCTGCATTGAAAGAAGAATGCCGCACAATGTTTCCCTTGATTGGAAGTGGTCGGTTTATTTCTGCACCTGTTATCACTGAAGACGGTGATCCTGTTCTAGATCCTATAGTTCTTCAAGAGTTAAATGCAGCAGAAGTATCAACTTCAGTTGGTCAAATTGGTAACCCTTAATATGTTCAGATTCCAAGTAGTGTGCTTTCTTTTCTTCTTCCTCTCTGTCTTCCTGTTGTTTTGGTGGTAGAGTTTTTGGATGCAGTATAAGTGACAATTTGCTTGGACGGTGTGCAATTACAGGTGCTTCTGGTGGTTTTGAAATGGTAAAGGAGCACGATAAAAGTGTAATCCAGTGGAAACTCTCATTACACCAGATAGGTTGGTCACATATACAGATTGCATGCACTTGTCTCTTATCATGCCAATCTATATAATACATGCATCTATAGACGTTTTTTTGGGTTTTGGCAAGTTGTGTACTGATTTTGGATTCACTATGGATTTATCTTATTAATTTGGAGATCACTTCCATTTTCTTACTTTCACAATGAATTTCTCTTTTTCCATGCGTTAGCCTTTCAACCTTGAATTCGTAATTATGCTAGGGTTGGATGTGATTCGCACCGACAGGACCCTTGTATTTTATGAGAAGCAAGAGAATTTATCAAAGCTCTGGGATATTCTGGCTGTTTATGCTTGGTTTGACAAAGATGTCAGTTATTGTCAAGGTTGGTTATTACAGTATCTTCTTAATATAATTATTCCAGTTTTTTAGCTTCTCTTGATCTTGTAATTGCTTAGCCACAAGTGAGTATGCTCTATAGTAAGGTCAACATTAGTAGTCGTATTAATGATACTAGTTTGAATGTTATAGTGTGTAGTTATATCTTGTTTTTGAATTAATCCTGAGCACTATGCTTAAGTTGACAATCAGTTCCAAAAGCCTCAAAGAAAATTATTTGAGAATCTATGTGCACAGTGTCAAAGTTTCTATATGTTTAAGGTTCCGTCGATAAATTACTCTTGCAAGGGAGGAGATCCATGTTTTACAAATGGTCTTTTTGTGCCTTTTTTCGCTCTAGCTTGCATATTTTTGTCATTGTCAGCATTAACTTTATCATCACAGGGACAATCACCCTTTCTAATTCCTTTCAGTCCATTATTATTTCCTTATACATGATAACAAGCTTATCTCTTATTACTTTAATTTAAAGCAAAAGAACACAAGCTTATCTCTTATTTATTACATCTAACTTGTGCTGAAACTATTTCAAAATTTGATAATGCTGAACAGGAATGAGTGATCTTTGCTCTCCCATGATTATTCTACTTGATGATGAAGCTGATGCATTTTGGTGCTTCGCGCGTATGATGAGGAGACTGGTACATATTATTCATTTCCTGAAAAATCATGAATATCTGCATCATTTTTAAACACAGCTCTTTTGGTTACCTCAACCTGAATTCTAGTATACATCTAGATGTAAAAATAAAAAGGAAATTTCATTTTTGCTCTATCACAATGCTAGCTAGAAATTATGTTGGTCCATGTTTCCATGAGAGAGTGATATTAAAAGGATTATGCCGTCATAATAGCATCTAGAGAAGGCATCAGCGGTGTTGAGTGAGTGAGTGAGGGAGAGAGAGACCAGTTGGTTGCCATGTATTCTGAAAATGAAAATCAACCACTTATAATACCTTGCCCAAGATTATCGTCTTTGTTACAAGCTTTGATATTAGATCAAGGCGCAAGTTTTTTTTCTAAACAAGTTTCATTGATAATGCATCAAGTAGATGCTCAAAATTACAAAAGTGAGCGAAAAGCAGTGTGGAGCCAGGATTTCCACTAAGGGGAGTCAAAATATATAGAAGTAAACACATGAAGAAGCCAAAGGAATTCAACATATTTTTTTGTTTGGCAGCCTACCAGCGCCGAACTCTTGACCTAGTGGCATGAAGAGGACTCTTTCAACCACTATGAACAGGAATGGCCAAGGGGATTAAAAATATAGTATATATACATAATAAGATAAAACAATTGACCTATCTACACAGTATAATTTTCCGGCGAAGAGTGTCAATTGACTCCCCTTGGACTAGGAGTTCCGCCCCTGGCGAAAAGAGAGTTACTCCTGTACACTAACTCTCTTTTATGTATCCTAAGAAGCTAACAAAGTAAAAAAAAATGGTTGAAGCTTTTTACAGTATAAAGCCTACAACAACGAAAGGTTTAGAAGGCATCTAGCTTTTAGAATATGTACCAGAGTTGAGACTCCATCAAAGCATCTGCTGTTCCTTTCAGTCCATAAATACCAAAAATGCAAGCTGGTACCATCTGCCATGTTTTCCGGAATGATATGTTGACTTTCCATTGACCTCGACTCCTGTAGGCTTCTCCGATATTATAGGGCATTACTCAGTGTACCCCAAAACCGCAGATGAATAAGCTCCACGCTTCTCTTGCTATTTGACAGTGAAATAGCAGAGTGCTGCAGCCACATATAGTATCTACTGTTCACGGAAAACCCCCTTTTATCAGGTTTTTTCATGTGTTAAACATCTTCCTGTAAGATCTATCCAACCGAAGCAAGCAATTTTGGTTGCAATTTTGACTTTTTAAACTAGCTTCCATGACAATTCTTCTATGAAACTTTTGCTGTTGGACATATTATGGTAGCATTATTTCACAGTGAATGAATTCATAGCAACTGCAGCTCCACACCAGCTTATCTTTCTTGTGAGTAACTGTCACTGCTTCCAGTTTTGCCTAAAGATTAGCCAATTCCTCCCATTCCCAGTCTTGAATGTTTCTTCCGAGCTACCTTCTCTGCATTAATTACAGTAGCATGTGGGGATAAAGTCAAATGATAGAGCTGCTGAAACTCCTCCCCTGAAAGTTTTCTCGATTAGCATCTTTGTTTAAGAATTTTGAATTGTACAGGCTTATCCTTCTAATCCTAAATGCACTATTTAATCAGCAATGTCTCCCTTGATTCCTTTTGCACCAAAACAGTTTCATTTCATTGCCGTTTGAACTGCTATTTATTGTTTATTCCTCTCCACAGAGCTGAGAGAAACACTATTTTGCTTGCATACCTTTTGATGTCTAATAGCATTGAAAAACCTTGCAATTCCTTAGATTCTGATAATTCCACCAGCAATCATATGTTCAATTCCTTCACCCTTTCCATTTGAGCTGAAGTATCTCGCAGATCAGAATAATACTCATAATAATGGAGGACAGAAACAAACATAAATTTGGTAGAAGAATATCTTACTACACCAGAATATTTATTATGATAATATGCCAGGAAACGCTGATGAGCTAGTAAGTTTCCCGTGCAGCATATTTCCTAGCTGTTATACCACTCAGGTTGCGTAAACCTTCAGTGCTTAATTTCCGTGCTTATAGAAATACATTCATAGCTTTGCTTTGTTAAGTATGTTATACACTTTTGTGATTATTGTGATTAATTCTAAGCGTTTTGTCCAATTTCAAAGAGAAGTAATTTCAGATGTACTGGGAATTCTGTCGGAGTGGAGGCGCAGCTGAGTAATCTAGCATCAATAACTCAAGTTGTTGATCCCAAACTTCACCAGCACTTGGGTACCATCTCTCGTTGTACTTAAATACCGAGTCCACTGGAAATTTTTTACTTCATTTTCATCATCTGCTTTTTGGTATTTATGAAAAATTATGTCATACTGACGGAGTAACATGTAGGTCAAGGGAGTTAATGATGCACAATTCTATATGTCCTAGTAATCTTTCACAACTAATTGATCAGACCTCTTTTTTTCATTTAAGTTGAACGTTCAAAACTAGGATAACATTGGAAGTAAAAGAAACCTTCACTAACACTCTGCTCTGGCTGGGCATGTCTTTGAAGAAATCGGCTTAGCAGCTGCTGCTCTTAATTCTGTCAAATTTTAATTATATTAAATTCAATGGTTGAAAAAAAGAGGGGTTGAAAGTGGGAATAGTGCTATTTGTGGCTTACTTCTTAACACAAGCTTCTTTTCAAATTCATTGAATTTTCTTGACTTTCTTGAATTTCCATTATGTTAGAATATCTGGTTTGTATAGAGCTGTAGCTTGGCCATTAATTGGTTTTTACATTGCTTCTCTCTTTTGATGCTTCATCTGGCAAAGTATCATTGAATTTCCTTGTAATATTGGCCCACAGAGACATTAGGCGGAGGTAATTACGTGTTTGCTTTTCGAATGCTCATGGTTTTGTTCCGTCGAGAATTTTCTTTCGCTGATTCGTTGTATCTTTGGGAGGTAAGATTCATCTCCTAATAATGTTTTGCTGATCTGAAGCTGTTATTTAAATGTCTTTTCATTTGGATGCTTGCAAAGCCACTAACAAATTTCCTTTTCTCTCAAATTTTATGATTTTGACCATGATGTTCTTGTTGTCTCTCAAACTTGTCCCCTTTTGCCAACAGATGATGTGGGCCCTGGAATATGATCCCGATTTGTTTCTTATGTATGAAGACCCTGACTTGACTGCTGAAAAATCTGAACGACCAAAAGTAAAGTCAATACGACAGTGTGGGAAATATGAGAGAGAGAACATGAGAAATGGTGGTAAAGGTGCAGAAGCTCCCCTCCCGATTTCTGTGTTCCTAGTGGCTAGTGTGCTGAAGGACAAGAGCGCGAAGTTATCGGAAGCTAGAGGACTAGACGATGTTGTTAAGGTTGGTTTGACAAATACAAACATTTAGGTGCTATTTCGGTCTCCAATTAAAGGATCCCTTTTCCTAGGTGCTACTTAGGAAAATAATTGATTGTACCAAAGATTTGAAATCCACGTATTTTGTCATGCAACCAATATAGTTGATATTTCAAGTGAAATCTTCAGTTGAATTGATTAGAAGTCCGTGAAAAGTGTCTAAAATCTGAATGACATATGAATTATGGATCTCTAATCTAGGAATGCAGATGAAGTTCTGTAGGTTGTGTTGTTATGTTTTCGGTTATGTGAGTTTTACCTCCTCAATCCCGAGTAAGTTCATTTCTTGCCCATTATGTATTCATACTCTTATCATTTGCTTATTATTTTCAGATCCTGAATAACATTACTGGAAACTTGGACGCGAAAAAGGCATGCAGTAGTGCAATGAAACTTCACAAGAAGTATCTTAAGAAGGTAACTTTTTCATGAAAATGTGTATCCTACCTTTTTGTATGCAACAAGTAATATGAAAGCAGACACATAGTATCACAGGCAATTATACATCAGATACTGTCATTCTTCTTTTTTTTCTTCTGATAATTGTGATGTCTTAATGTCTGGGTTAGCTTGTACACACCTCAACTAAATTCACGGGGTACCTACTATCTCCCACCAGAAACTGTCATTCTTGGAGTATTAATATCTTACGATTCTTTTTTGGAAGAAAAGACTGATTACAGTTATAAATAATGCTACTGGTTAAAACAGGCAGCCAACACCAATAGGTAGTCGAGCAGACGCGAATGTCAGTTGATTCAGAAGTCATGGAGCTCGTGTCACGTTCTCAATGAACTTAATGACATTGTTATCACCTCATTGCATTTCAAGGTCTGAAAAGGATCTATATTAATATTTGTTGGCCCTGTCGGTGAACATTAGCTGTTTTTGCTACTGTAGTTTTGATGTTCTAAGACATGGAAAATACCATTCTCGTCTGGTCCCAAGTTGGGACTCTCATTATATATGTGTATATTAGTTCCAAGTTAAATGTCTAAGGGTCTATGTACACAAAGTTACTCTTCCAAAGGTTGTATAATAGATGTTGTAAAACAGCAATTTTATTTTCCATCAAGGAAATAGGAGGATAAATTTTAGCTTTATAACAATCTCATTCATGTTTCAAGAACAGACTATGTTTCAACTTAGTTGTGACTTTTGATGTTCTTTTATGTTGGCTTTAAGATATGTATACAGAATGCTTGAGATAAAATCAAGAGAGGGAAATAGCACGATCGGAGAGGGATTTAAGGAAATAATGAAATTATGGGGCAGAAATAGGAAGGAAAAAAAAACATTGAAATTCCATGTAAATGATTCCTGGCATGTGGCTCACAGAAATTCTAACAACAACAACAACAAACCCAATGCAATCCCACGCATTAGGTCTGGGGAGGGTAGTGTGTACGCAGACTTTACCCTTGCCTTACGAAGGAAGAGAAGTTGTTTCCGATAGACCCTCGGCTCAAGGCTCACAGAAGTTCTCTAACTTCTAAAATAAAAATTCTCTAACTTCTAAAATAAAAATGATCTGGAGGAGACCTATGGAAAGAGCAAATTATTCAATAACATCTCTACAACAAGATTTAATCACCGATACACCTTTTACATTCCACAATTTTTTTAAAAAATAATCATTCATCTGTCTTTCCCAGGTGAAGTATAGTGCTTGACATTCTTTTTCCTAGCAAAAACAAAAAAATTGTACCTAAAATACAACTTTACGACAACAATATCTAAACTATAAGTCAGTTGTCTTTAGAACAAAAGATATGCTATCTGAGGCTGTTGCACTGGAGTGAAGTCTATTGCCACAACACGCCCAAAATGTCCAAATACACTGCCCACAGTGCACAAAACCTAGCAGACGGCGCGACTTTTGTCCATGGCCGATTGGCCAAGCGTGCCAAGGTGCGCCCGAGGCATCTATGGAGCTTACTAGAAGGATCTAGAAGGTTCCAAAGTGCTTCAGAGCATGACGGAAATCTATGTAAGGCCCCAGAGAATTAGATCATCATATTAAGGCATACTTTAAGAAGGTACATTAAGTCTGTTATGATAGTCTGAGGGCATCATAGAAGCCCTTAAGCTGGTGGAACTAGTCCCTGACCAAGGGCGGATTTACATGCATCCCTCCCCCTATTATGTATAGCACTGCAACTTTTCTGAAATATAGTACTTAAATATGTATGTGGGAACCCATACCCAAGAGACCACTTCATTGCACTCATTGCGGCGTGCACCTTTATTAACCAGGTCGAGGGGTCGAATCCCCCTCTTGCTTGAAAATATAGCATAAACATATAATGAGCATAACACAGAACCATTACGCAGAAAAGCAAGAACAAATACATTACTTATATCAAACCAGCAGAAAGCCAACATTAGCAAGTTTACTGTTTACAACAACTTAGTTCATAGCAGCATTATTTGGAACCCAAGTATAGTAACTGCGCAGTGATTGATGATGACAATCAGAAACCATGAATCTTGATGTGCTCTTTCTTCACTATTCCAACCTGTTCCCAAAAACCAAAGATTCACAAATCAGCTTTATTACAAACTACACAAATACTACCAACAAACAAATAAAATCGAACTGTAAATTCAATAATGCTAGAAAACGTATCAGTGATGGTGTGAAAGTTGTTTCTTTATTCCGACTTGGGATCAAGAGATTTTCAGAAATAATCACAACAACAAAAAGACTCCCAAGACAGGAAGACCGGAAAAAAAAAATTCTCCCGCATTCAAAATAATAGGGTACCTATTTGTGGTTACCAAACTCAACTAGCTGCTCAAAACTCATATCAGTTCCTAAAATAAAAAAAAAGGCCCCATAATGCAACAGCAAGAACAGAGGATGCTTATCAAGTATTATATAAAAAGTGAAGTCAGACATATGTCCGATACAGGTAGATGGATAACATGCTTTTTCTATGTACCCTCTCATTCAGGTATAATTTTGAACAATAGAAAATAGCCTGCTGGTGGATGTGAAGAACAATTACCTGGACAAGAAATGTTGAAACATTCTTTCGCTGATCACCCTGAAGTTGAATAACCTTCAAAGACAGAAAATACATATGCATTAACACAACAGTGCCATTGCAGAGACGAGATAGAGATCAATATCCATTAACACAAACCTGCCCCAATTCGGGATCCTGGACAACAGTGCCGTTGCAGCAAAATTCTTTCTTGAGATCCTTCAGAATTTTATTGTAGCTGAATTCTTTCTTCAAACCCTGCACAGTTGTCAGGCTTTTCCTACCGTTCCTTTGCTGTATACGGATGTGCACATAATCTTTTGTCCCCGCACCAGAGTTATCAGCATTTTCCTCAGCAAAGGGATCTGAGGCGGACAGCAAAGCACCACAATATTACCAATTATAAAGCATAACTTGAACAATACAGCTCCTCCTAACTAGCAGGCTCATCATCTTTGCACATAAAATATAACCTCTTCTGTACAAGTGCTTACTTGCACGATTAAAAATTTTAAGTCATTTTCTTCTGATTATTCTAAAGTTTTAAGTTAATGAATTGAAAAGATGGCAAGACAGAAATCCACCAAATTGAACCAAATAGGAATGTAAATTGAAGAAGTTGCATACCAAAAGCATTAGGAACTAGGAGGTCGAGATCAGACATGAAACTCGGCTGAAGAATAAGGGTAACAAGAGCACGCGCAACTCTTCAAACTTAGATGCTCAGACCTAGCAAAAAGAGAACCCTTCAGCAGTTAGTACAGCCATCTGTAAGCATAACACATGGGGTATGGGTAAAACAGCGATGCAAGAAAAATCAAGATCAATATATGAAAGGGAAACTAGCGTTTTTTGTCCCTGAAATATCGACAAGTTCTTATTTTGGTCCTTGTGATGCTTGGTTAAGCACATTTAACCTTCAATTAATTGAAATGTACACTTTTGACCCTTCTGCTTGTGAATCTTCACAAAGTTAATACATTAACAACTGTAATACCATAGAGCTGCCCATGCGCTATGTTAAATTTTGTACAGTTAATTTATATTTGAGGGCTATGTAAATAATCTAGATATAACATATTTCCTATGTAAAAAGACCAAAAACACAAATTTTAATTAGTTCAAGGTTAAATATGCTTAGTGAAATACCAAAAGAACAAACCAATAAGTGAGGATCAAAAGTGCATTGATCCCTATATCAAAAGTCCAAACCTCCAATGATAAAAAATGTGTCATCTAAAGGAAAAAACCTTTTTGTTGATAATCAACTAAAAATTCTATCCTTTTTAGGATAAGAGAAATCAAAATTGGAACAAGTAGAATTGGATTTGTAGGGTTATTGTGTAAAAGGAAGAAGGATAAAGCAACCAAAACAACTGAAATACCAATATTAGTGATAAAGATGAACCCTTTAGCACTAATAGGATTGTGAAATCCGTCTAAACACCAATATTTCATAACAAATACAACAATCAAAGGCAAGAAACAAATCAAACAACCAAAATTAGGCCAAGAAAACCAACGGAAATCAATAAAATGAAGAAAATGTAAACTAAAATTCCTAGTTCTTCAAATAAAAATCTAAATTTCTCCGATAAAATACTCAACAAAGAAACACAAAACCAAAATGGATCAGGCCATATTAAATTACCAACAACCCCCTCCCTCCCCCAATTGAGCCATCCGGAAATCCAAATTGAATACTTACATCACTTCAATCTAGGTGGACATGATTGTTTGAAACTTGTATTTACGAGATGGATTAAAAGAGGTTCGTGCAAACTGACTCGAATATTATTGTCAGAATTAAAATCAATTTTAAAAAAAAAAAAGAGCAAAGAAGATTACCTGATCTGAAGGTTAAGGAGTGGAGATATGAGGATGATTAGAGGAGACCCAAAATTCCGAGCGCGAGAGAGAGTAAAGTCAAGACCAATAAGAATAAAATGTGGTTTCTATGTGAAACGATCGATAGAATATATGTTAGGTCGGTCGCAAATTACGAAACGTAAGTGGAGCTACTATAGGCTGCGTCACGGAGCAGCATACTCCTGTGCGCCCCTTATTAACTTTCACCAACTCCAAGTTGCCTCCCCCTCCCCCCCCCCCC